TGATTTGTTTGGTTTGGTTTACATACTAAAACAGATGGAATAAGAACTCGACAATCACCCACATGTGTATAAAAAGAAAGAATGTGAACGTACATTATTCTCAGTATTAATAAATAAATTAGTATTTGCATATTATGTGAGTTCTAGTTCAAAGTTTTGCTATCGATCCTCTGGCCGGGTATCGTCTCGTTCAGTTTTCAACTTTACGTAATTTCAATCTTTTAGGACCGTTCTCATCTAAGGTTTAAAACGTCCACGGTTTGGTGTCCACATATGCTCAGGTAATTTGGAAGTCATGTCTCGTACGTCACAGCTCTGTGCCGCCTGGAGCTGCCTTTCCCGCCTTACGCTGACGTTATCTCGTGCAGAAGAGACAAGAAATAAAGTGGCTGACGCGGAGCTTGAAGTTTAAACTAAGAATATCTTGCAGTCGAAGGTCAGTACCACAACAAAGGCAACATTCTGCTTCAAAAACTTATTTTGGTCTAGCCACTGCGCAGCCCTTATGTATAGTGGTATCGGGCACACAGTGTAGCTGTCAAACTTGGCACACGGCAAGCACGTGTATTATGTTCATAATCTGCAGGAGCAAATGTTTTTTGATAAGCAAAAATACAAAAAAAAAAAAAAAAAAAACATTGGATATGTCTTTTTCTTTTAGAAACATTATCTATTTTTCACCTTGCATCTTAAAAACAGTAAATAAACTTAAATAAAGGAGAATTAAATCTGTTTTACGTTTCACTTTGCTCTTACGACATTCAAATGCAGATTCACTGCGGAGCAGTTCTTTTTGATTGAAGGAAATCGTACATTGTCGCTGTTCTTCAGAGCTCACTGTTGAAGCCCGATTCACAGTGACTCTGACACTCAGGGCAGCTCAGGTAAACACATAAAAAGAAAAAAAAAGACAGTCCCATGTAAAGTTTTTAGCTAGAAATGATAGGGGAGAGCGGGGTGGGTTGGAACGCGGGTAAGTTGGAACATTGGCTTTATTTCTTAAATCACAAGACCGATCATGTGCTCCTTCAGCATAAAAATGTCATGTGGCATGGTCATTCATCCGGTAAACTTGTGGAAGTTTCGAAAATGCAGCAAAAGTTTTATGCGAAAAAAACTTATTTTCGCTACTCGAAGTAAGTTTTCATATTTTTGACATTCATCGTGCTGTAAACTAAAGTATAAGGATTATATCACTGAAATTGTGCAAAGCGTTTAGGACCACCTTGATGTTCAAAAAGCTGTTGTTTTTTTTAATCACTTCCCACGTGTTAAAGAAATACAGTGTCATAAGTAGGCCATGACGTCATGGGGGCTGGTCGGAACATTTGACATGGGGCCAGTTGGAACACTGTCAGGGGTGTTCCAACACACCCCGCACGGTGTTTTTCATTTTTTAAACCCTTTAATTTCAACTTTGAAGAGAGTAGTAACGTAGTAACCCAGTACAACTCCAACTGGAGACGAAATCTAGCTGATAGAACATCTCCAAGATGCCGGAATGTACATGCGTGTAGAAGATACAAGGGGGGATGGTCACTGCTTGTTAAATGCAGTTGCTAGCTGTTTGGTCGAAAATTGTCTGCATGCCCACTGTTGCTTTTGCGATAAATTGCTTTTAGATGTGGAAGGAAATGTCGATTATTACTCTGCTTTTCGCGGCAAAATGAAAAGACAAACATTCACCTCGTAACTTAGGCATAGATTCAGTTGAAATCTCAGTTGCCCTCACCGGAAGAGGTGCTACAGGACACTAAGGCTGTATTCCCAGAGCTTTTAGATCGATCTAGATTACTGTCACTAGATTACTGTCAGATAATCCGGCTTAAATGTCCGTCCCGCCTACTACAAGCTGTAAGGGGGTAATTAACTTTGGTGTCCTGCTCGGCTGACAGCTATTTAGCGTGAACCCCCAGGGAGTTAGGTCGATCTAAAGTAGATCGATCTAATCTCTGGAAATGGGGTCTAAAGCGCACTTAAGAAAAGCCCAAAACAGCTCAAGTCCAGCAATAATTAGACCGGTTCCAAAGGCTCACCGTCGCAGTCCAAAGATTAAAAGAAGAAAACGATGCAGTGCAGTACTAACTGACACACCTGAAAATGAGCTACTCGAAAAAGAAAAGGCCAAGCCCAACAAAATTAAAAAGGACAAGCGCAACAAAAATAAAAAAAACAGTTAAAGGTTTCTAGTCGATAGAGAAAATCAAGAAAAAGGAAATTAAAGATGACCAACGATTCTGAGTCAGAAGAAGAGTTTTGTTTGTGGGGAGCCGTTCATTAACAGCCGACCAAAAGAGAAATGGGTTAAATGCATTGTTTGTCTAAAGTGGTCACATGAAAACTGTACTAAGGTTGACCAAGTGTAGGCCTACATACTGAGTATATCAGAACTGCGATTTTGATTCTGAGTTGTTGAGTTGAAAGAAATACAGTTTTCATTTGTAGGTCTAACATAGTGTTGTTGATAGGTTGAGTTATGTGAGTTCAATTTCTTTTCTCTTAAACTACACCACTTTTGTTATCGTTATGAAATGACGTGTAACTGGATATGGTTTATACATCGAAAAGACTATTTGAAAGCAAATTGTAAACGTAAAAAATGCTTACAAACTGTGGAGAAACGAATACAAAGTAACACGCACTTGTTGGGAAATTAATATAGATAAACCTACTCTTAAAATGAATTATACTTTGAATTTATATGCAAGCGTTCCAAGTCGCCCTCTTGTTCCAACTCACCCCACTGCCTGTTCCAACTTACCCCGCGGGTGGGGTGAGATGGAACGTTTTAGGAGGCAACTTTGAGCATTTATTACTCTAAAATAAAAAGACCTACTTGATGTTTTATTTCATAGATGAGTGCGGCATATAATTTTCCCCTATCAGATTTTATATTTTTGTCCCCAAAGCTTTGACTGTTGAGATATCGCAAAAAAAGTGAAAACTGTTCCAACCAACCCCGCTCTCCCCTACATTACAATAATAACAAAAGCGGGCCCTGATCCCCATACCAAAGTGGAGGTCGGCTTCGCATTCGCGGACCCTCTTAAAATGATCCTGGATCCGCCCTTACGAAGGCTTGGAATATTGGATAATAATTTTTATTTATTTATTTTTTTTTTTTGTCGGCATTGTTATAAGTGATTATTACCTTCTGTATACAGGGGCGGTACATGAAAGTCCATATTTAACATAATACGTCAAACTGATCATTGCAGTGACTTATTTGATCGGTTGGCGTCCCCCGCCCCCCATATCAGGTGAAGAAGGTGACACATACACAAAACGAAGAAAGATTCAAAACAATGACATTCATAATTAGGTCAACTGTCAATCATTCTACCAATGAAACTGAAGCACGATGCATCTTTTTCCATTAACTAGTAAATACAATACAAGGAATAATTTATTGATTAAATATAAAGAAAAAATAATGACTGTACAAAAATGTGAGTTCCTGAAAGTGTTAAGACAGTCTAACTTTGCTCTACATTTCCAATTGTGTCCACCATTTTTGAAGTTACTTTTTACCTTTCACAAAGACACAAACCGGTGTGGCGTGATAGACCCGTGCACATGCGCATTAAGGGTAGATTGAAAGAAGTAACTTCCGGTATGACGATGTCGTCCTAAGTAGGCGCTATGTTTGCACTGAACTACGATTTTCAAATTCATAATTCAGAGGTTTTCGTCATGAGAGAGTATGTATTTGATAATCTTATTACTACAGTATACGGGGGAATGTTGGAAGTGAGCTTTTGAACGTGACTGAACTGTTTTGCTCTGTGTGAAGAACGTGGCAAATCTAAGACTCGTAGAATAAAGCTTTTCCCTCTACAATGTTCTTTCAATTCAAAGTTCAGTCATTTTCGTTAAAAAGAAATTGTTTGTTTGATAATACTTCACCTTTCTCTGCGGGGAAATGTTGGAAATGCATGTGCAGCTACGTACTGTAAGTCAACAGACTGCTACCCCCGCCTGAATAATCCGTCAGAACGGTTTATTCACGACGACGGTTTCTTCACGTGACACCGGGAAACGTGAGAGTAAAAAATTAAAAACAAAAAAATACATATAACTGAGTATTATGTCCCCCTTACAACTCTCAAATGAAGGTAAGAAGTACAATGAACTTGTTTATTTTCACTAATGCAATATTTACCTGTTATTAAGAAGAAAGCTTGGCAGATAAAATACTCGAAATATTCGTTTCTCCATTTTATTATCATTCAGAACCAACACACGGAGAGAGAGAGAGAGAGAGAGAGAGCGACTTGAATGTAGAACTAATTCCTCATTACTTTTGATGTTTTACCTGAATAGACACTAATTAACGGGTTTCCTGCTTCTATCGAGCACCGTGATTTTCCAGGACGTAGGTTACGTAAGCCCTCTACCAGGGCGGCAAATCAATTCTATCCACTTTTCCGTCACCAGAGATTTGTGACAAGAGTTAGCCAGAAAAATTATTGACAATTAGCGAAAAATCAATATTTGAACGTGGAAGGTGGGAGTTTTCGTAAAGGTATACTTATTTATGCTGTAATCATGCATGTATAAGAGTAAGTTGGACTCATTGACAGTCGTTTCATATCGAGTGTGCTTCTGTTCTTCTGTTCCTGTACCATCGGTAAAGGGAAAGACACACAATGAAAGTTTTTCTTCTAAGGTTCTCCAAATGGATACAATTATAACGTTAAGTTCAATGCATTATAAGTATTGTGTTTCGAATACATCGGATTTTTATTATATTTATATAAAGAGAGTTGATTTCGTTCTCGGGTCATATTTGCCTCTGCTGGCCATTGTTTTGCAAGAATGTTAACTTGTGTTTGCGAGATCAGAGCGTCATCACCATGTATTTACTATAATCCCGTATAGAGACGGTTGACAAATAAATCGCTCCACCTAGCACTTGAGAAAAACTTTCCAGAGACTGAAGAGAGATATCGTTGCTACACTAGAGTTGTATTTTGGCTGGTATCAAAATGCTTCTAAACATGGTTTGCATTTTGCATCTCATACTTGCGGTCGTTTGGATTGTGGTTGGAGATAAAAATTCTACAAATGTCTACAGATATGTCAGCCCTCCAAGCTGCAGGAAAGATGTGGCAAATATCAAGGTATATGGACAGCAATATGTGTCAACAAAAAGTGCTTGCGCCATCGCTTGTTCGGCGAACACGCCCCGCTGTGTTGGATTCAACTACATTGAAGTCAATTCAGGGGAAGATTCATGTGAATATGTTGACGCAAAATCCGACGAGAATAGCACCAATTTGGTTTACCGCCATGGATATCGCTACTTTGAACAGGTAATGTATCACTTTCTCATTATTCATTTAAAAAATACGCACCATGCCCTAGAAGTCGTGTATTAACATAAGTACAGTCTTGCAAGAACACACACGCTTGCATACAACAATCGGTTTATCAAAACATGGACACTTTTAAAAATTGACTTCAATTTGTTTTCACATGTTAAAATGTTTTGCGGTTAGTTCTACAAAAATGCCTTTCCATTGCGAAAAATTGCATTTTTCATATGAAATTATCTGTCCACTGCATTATTCAAAATGGTTGTCAGACCTGATAAAATATATGACATTTCTTACAAACATCAATCTGTTTAGAGCACGGCTGTATCAGTGAGGATACAACATGTTAAATCGATAGACAAAGGAGAGAACAAACACGGTTAAGTTGCTAACTTCCGGTGGATTCAATGGGATTTTAAGTATACCCTCCGTAAATGAGATGCTTTAGATACAGGTAAAATTTAACAATAATCTGATAGCTCTTCATGGAAAGTTACAATTAATTTCAAAATTACGCTCACATGTTTTAATAAGATAGTATATGAATATGACTCATGTCAGTACGGGCACGTGTAATACCCACTTCTCGATGAGGTATGCTGTTCACAAGCGCCACCAATGGTTATAAAATAGAAGTAAAACAATACGGGGTCAGTTTTTATTCATATATCGAAAATTGGGAGACTGCTTTTTGAATTGATCCATTTTAAGCTGTCTGTGTGTTTCTGTTTTTGTAAAGGTGAAGCCTGTTTCTGGTATTGATATTTATTTTTGAATAAAATAATAATTTCAAAGTGGCTGTGTGCTCTATTTTCAGTTGGAGATGTCAGAGCAGCAAGTCACCTGTTCTCGATCTAGTAAGTAACATGCACATGTGTTAATGACGGTCACCGCGACTGCATATCCGACTTCACGGATCGTTCATCTTGTCAACTGTATTTTTTTAATTGGGGACATATGCATGTTGCTATTGATCCTATCTGATGGCTAACTTTGGTAATGCGCAATTTTCACAAGGATCTGTTTTACCGTGTTTGAGACTGACCTTCACCTTCATTCTAAATTACCTTGACCTGTATTGAATGTCACCTTGACCTACATTGGGATTGTATTTGACACTTACTTCTTGTTGTTTCCAGCTCCTTATCCTGTGTATACCTACGTCCCTATCAGTCTGTCACACGCAGCAGCAACTGCACACTGCCGGGAGAACGGGGCTCACCTTGCAACAGCGGAGACTAGGAAAAAGTTAATGGATTTACACGCGTTTTGGCAGCAAGTTCCAGGGTCAGGTACGACATTTCAGTGACTTAAATCTGTATCCGGGTCATTTCAGAGACTTAAATATGCATCCAGTTTATTGGTTATTACGTTCTTGATCTTCGGGTAATCGGATTTCATGTCAGTCACTAAATGCGTATCCCATTATATTTTTCTTTTAATCTTCAGGCTGCTATTTGAATCAAACACAATATATAGATACTTCTGGAATGTGTTTGCGTTTGACGATTAGCGACGTTAATTTTCAATGAAAAGGGGTTTAGAAAACTGTTACGTTATTACTTAGTACAATTGAGAAAAAGGCACAAGTGAGCCTAAACACCCTTGCATTTTTAGGTTTGGAAAATATTTATACTTGTCACATAAAGTGATATCGATATACTTTTAACATAGTTAAAGGCTTCAATTTTCTCTTTATATAATCAGTCGATAAAATTTGGTTGGGAGCAGACGACATCGCCCAAGATGGCGATTGGCGGTGGAACGCTGCAAATGGAGATCCGGTGGACTATTCAGAATGGCACCCAAGTGAGCCGAACGGCGGAGCTGGAGAAAACTGTATGGAGCTCTACTCAGACGGAACATGGAACGATAAGTCGTGTAGCAATACCAGATCCTTCCTCTGTGAAGGATAGAAAGTATACATCTGTATATTACACGAACATTAGGATCCCAAGCCCATGCGGGGACTTTCTTAGGAAGGGGAACAAGGATAAAAAATCCTAAATAATGGACGTATAAGCAAGTATTTGTTATACGCACAGGGCACAGGGATATTTAGCTCCCTGATATTTAGCTCTTGTGGAATGTCCGGATCACCCACTCAAGACTTTACCGGCGGGAAATAGCCTGATTTGTTTGGTTTGACTTACATACTAAAACAGATGGAATAAGAACTCAGGAATTACTTACATGTGTATAAAAAGAAAGAATTTGAACGTACATTATTCTCAGTATTCATAAATAAATTATTATTTGCATATTATGTTAGTTCTAATTTATGCAAGTAATAAAATCCTTTGGTGAAAATTTACATCAAAGTTTCGTTATCGATCCTCCCGCCGGAGGATAGAAATTGTTCAGTTTTCAACTTTACGTAATTTCACTCTTTCAGGACCGTTCACATCTAAGGTTTAAAACGTCCACGGTTTGGTATCAACATTTGTTCATGTAAACACATAAAAAGAAAAAAAACGCCAGTCCCAAGTAAAGTTTCTAACTAGAAATGATACATGACAATAATAGCAAATGGACCTTTCGAGCATTTTGGGGGACATTCTCTGTGAACAACCTGGTGGTCGTCATCCTAGCCTGAGGGCTCTGACTTGCAAGCATGGGCTATTTAGGTAGTTGTAAGTGGTTACAGGGCAAAGGGTGCTCTGATTGCTTTTTCTACTTTATTTTGATTTTTGTAGGCCAAGTTTTTTTTTAACAAACTTTTGGCGTGTATGCATTTTCATTGTATTAAAAGCATTGTTAATAGTTACTTGATATGTCTCGTTTTTCTTCCATTTTGCATTACGGTAGACTAGCGTGGTATTTCAGAGTCGTTTTCTGTAGTTTTCCGTTTTATTGACTGATCATGCTGACAGTTAAGATCGGCAACACCAAGTCAGGCAATTAAAGTGAGAGCAAACAACTCCATTGATTGCAAACATGGGGATATGACAGGGACTTGTTTACTTGCAACCGACAATTATCCTTGAGATCAGAACACGGTTATAGCAGAGAATTGTGTCATGAAATATTTAGAGACAAGCCTGTGAAATATCTAAAGAAAAATCAATCTGTTTTCCTGGTAGAAGTTATAAGTTCAGCGCCCCTGGTGATGGAAAACACACAATTAATTATAAATGGTACAGAAACAATGGCAAAGTGACTAAAATTTTATCTTATTTGATTAAGTATACTTTACATTAGACTGTCCAAATCGATGTCATGTAAGCTTTTCTATTGTAAAACGAACACATCGGATTTCCACGTTAGAAAGAAAATTGGTTTCGTTTCTGGAGATGTCTCCGATAACCATTGTTTTCCTACTGTGATTTGTTGACTTGTGTTTGAGATGCAGTTGTCATATCAGCAATGACCCCTTCATTAAACCGATAGGCAATAAGCGTAGCTGCTCTTTGTAAAAATGATCTTAAAACTGTCAAGAGGAACGATCAACTGCTCTTGCTGTACGCGTTTTTTATTCTAGCTTGCTGTTATCAAAATGCTTCGGCACACATTTTGTACTTTACATATCATGCTTACGGTCGTTTGGATTGTATTTGGGGATACAAATTCCACAAATGGATACAGATATGTCAGCCCTCCACACTGCCGGGAAGACGTGGCAAATATCAACGCTTTTGGACGCCAATATGTTTCCAGGAAGAGCGCTTGCGCCATCGCGTGCACGGCGAACACGCCCCGCTGTGTGGGGTTCAACTACATTAAAACCGATTCAGGGGAAGATTTATGTGAATATGTCGACGCAAAATCCGACGAGAATAGCAAGCATCTGTTACACAGCAAAGGATCTCGGTACTTCGAACAGGTAATGTGTCGGTTTCCATTTATCTATTTATTAAATAAAATAGTAGCAAACTATAAAATACATGTTCTTGTAATTTAACGAATGCAAAAGACTCCTTTGTACACATCTATACATTAAAGTCAATGGGACCGTTCATATGCTTATCACCGAAAGCAGATATTGGCCCTGTCTCACTAACACTTGTTCTCTCAAAGGTACTTGTAAGGTTTGTTGTAGATTGAGTTTGGGTAGTAGCGTCCATCAAGATTGGGTCTAGACGGTTTGGCATTTTAAATGCAACAGCACGACTATTGTGTTAGTTGAAGGAATTGACATGATCTGAAGACCCACAGCAGACCCACTTGGGCAATACGCCAGAATGCTTTCAGTGGATTATAGCGAGGCTTTCAACAATGTTGATCACACTCTGCTCATCCACAAAACTCCTTTATCTTGAAATCCCAGAAGAAAGGTAACTGTGTGTGAATAACTGAAAGCTGCACGGTTGCCCATAAATGCAGGGAACAGAGTTCGGTCTTCTTTTCTATTATGATCACTGACATAAAAACTGAATAGGACAATACTAAAGGTGTAAATATTAACGGCATCCTGAACTAAAGAGCCGTCCATAAACAAGGCAGTCTCCCAGCTAGAACAGCAGATCTCGCTATGTGGTGCAGTGATAACAATTTTTTTTAAATTCTTAATACAATCAATTAATTGACAAAAAAAAACATGCGATGTTTTATTTTTCAAGAGTTATGGTAAAAGTGACGTCGGCATTGTGTGTTATATTAGTATTTGCGTTTGTAATGCTGCACACTGATTTCTTACTTATATAATCCACACCGGCTGTGTGCTCTTTTTTTCAGCTGGGGATGTCGGAGTGGCAGGTCACCTGTTCTCGAACTCGTAAGTAACATGAACATGTGAATACGATGGAGTAGGGTCACCACAGTACCATTTCTGACTTCACTAACGTATAAATGTCTCATTTGCGAATTGTTTTAACGCTGTTTTCACAGGGGACCACGCGCTCTATGTAATTGCTCGAACTCCTTCCACAAGTAACAGTTTCGGTGCAATTGTCACTGACCTTGACCTATATTGATATTGACCTTGACCTTTATTGGTACTGATCTTGAAACTGACCTATTTTTTTCTGATTTCTAGCTCCTTCTGCCTACACCTACTTTCCTATTCCTCTTTCGTACTCAGCAGCGACTGTCTACTGTCGTGACAGAGGGGCTCACCTGGCAACAGCGGAGACCAGGGAAGAATTAAGTATTCTGCACGCGATTTGGCAACAAGCTCCAGGGGGAGGTACGTCATGTCATTGACCTAGATTTGTTTATGGGTCATTGGTTACTTTTACACCCACATCGTTAGCAAGAAGCAATTTTATTTCATAAGTATTATGCATTCCATTTTAAGTTTTTAAAGATCTTCAATTATATTCAAAGCTGCGATTTGAACAAAATTAGTCCATTTAATCCCATAGGCCTAAATATGGGACACGTATACATGGTCAAAACACTCTGATTTATGTTTTACAGCCTCAATTTGAGAATAAATGGCTTCAATTGATAAGGAAAGGTCTTTACTTGAATTTTGTGTATATTCAGACACCTTTTTTTCTGTTGTTCCACCATTTTGAATTTGAGCAGACAGTTTTTTTTCTTTCTTTTTTTTTTAAGAAAAAAACTGTGCACAACATATGTGCCCGTCGTCCCATATATTGGACGCACATTGTCTTTACAAAAAAATATATACATTAAACACTATTTTTATTCAAAATGAAGTTTGGGTTAGATGTTTCTAACCTAGACCGCACCTGAAAATCAACATTGTAACAAAAATGTCGGGGTTAATGTTTAGCTAGATCTAGATTATGTAGTATTTGATGTGTTGTGAAAACAAACATAAAACTCGTTAAGGGGTAATTGCTAAAGAAGTTATATACAGAGTATAGCCTAAGTGAGAAAATTGTTGGACAAAACTTGTACCACTATATAATGATTCATACCATTTTCCAAGATTTATATTATTAACCAAATGGTAATGGCTAATTTATTTTTAATTAAAAGGATAACAACTCTTCGTTTTGGCCCAAAAAATGGATTTTCCTGGAGTAAACAACAATTTTCCATACTAACCAATGGTTAATGAATCCATTTTAACATTTAAAGTTAGTCCCTGTTTTTTTTTTTTCTATTTTTTTTTTTTTTTTTTGTTATAATCTCTTAAGAGATTATAACAGAGTATAGCCATCAATGGAGGTCACGTGGTCTAAAGACAAGCTCGGATGTCAGAATAATAGCTATCACTGCAATAGAATATATTATATGTGGTGCAATAGAATATATTATATTTCTAGGAGTTGTTCCCAATGTTACTATTGTGAAATGCAGATCTCATACGAAGAGCTATTATTCCTTTAATTAATTAATTAATTTTTTAATCAATTTTTTTAGCATGTGCAGATTGTAGACTTTGGTTGGGAGCGGACGACATTGCCCACAATGGCGACTGGCGGTGGAACGCTGCGAATGGAGATCCGGTGGACTATTCAGCATGGGGGTTCACTGAGCCGAATGGCGGAGATGGAGAAAACTGTATGGAGTTCTCTCCAGACGGGAAATGGAACGACTGGCCTTGCAACGGCCTCAGACTCTTCATCTGTGAAGGGTAGAAACTGAGCGCTCGTTTGCAGCCCCCTCCCCCTAACATATAGCTTAGTAATATTCAACATATTTTTAATTAATTAGTGTGGTGACTTTAAGCAGTGTCTTTAATATTCAAACACATACATTTGGCAATTATTAACGAATTTTAACATGCTTTTTCGATAATCATATATGCCTACCAAATATTATGAGAGTAGAGGATATCGCTGGAGTGAAAAATTTTCTGTAATCTCATTGATCTGATAATTTCAACGTTAACTTTAAAAGATTAACAATAAGTTAGCATTAAACAATAGAGAGTTGCAGGGTGGGGGAATACTGCCAAAGTACCAGAGATTGTCACATAACCACGTGTCTGAAAAAGGAAAAAAAACTTAAGCATTTATTTTAATTCTGATAACTCATGTTACGATAGCCGGTGATGTACGTACATGTAAGTGATAAAATGAAATGTAATTTTTGCATAACCGGAAAAAGCTGACATATTTAGTATTCTAGTATTTCAATATGTTTCTATTTCCATAATAAATGCAAACTCTGTAACAGCAATGTCATACATGTAGTTTGGCTAATATGTATCTCTCCTTACCAGCATGTATTTTTAGTTAAGTCTTTCACAAACATGTCATCAGGGCGGTCTTAGACATTTTTGATACGTATCCAAAATAACACAGCACGACGTATTTAATTACATTTATCCGGGTGTTTCTATTCTAATATTAGCAAATATGATTAAATTAGATATTTCATCCCAAAAGCCCAGATAAATATCTCAATGGACACCGGAAGTGACTGGTATGAACTAATATCGGCATCCAAAGAGCATTGTTAAATGGGGAATTCCTTATTTAATACACGCACATACATATGTAAAATACAGGTATGTACACCTGTACCCTCACGAGTTGCTTAATATGTTAACATAAAAGCGAAGACGAAGCATTTCACTTCTTTATCAATATACATGATAAACTAGTCAAAATTACTTTGAAATTATATATTTATCCGGTTTGGTAAATTTCTTTATACCAGTATCACAACGTGACCTTCAGCGGAATATGTATATAGAAATAGTACCTGTACTTCGTAGCTTTTATTGATGGCATGCAGTCATTAATTATATTGAAAGGCAAGTTTTCCTGTTTATGAACAAACCCATTATTGAGAAAAGTATGCACAGGGAAAATGCGCGATGAATTTTGAACATCCTTTCTTGATTCTGATAGACTGCGCACGCTGTGCGACCAGAGATATAGAGGGCAAACTCACTTCTTCACATTATTGAAAATTTCGGCGACGTCTTCTTGACAAAGGTAATTGATTGGCTGGGTTGTCCCTGACTGTTGCCGGTGACAATGAGCTTAATTCCGATTGATGTCACACCTAAAGCAATTATCAATATCTCAACCACTACCACAATTATCTCATCTTGGTCTGGACAATTCTCTAGCAAAACATTGCTAAAATATCACGACTGGAAACAGCTCATCTCTGTCAATCCTGTATTTAGAAAATAATCATGTACAAGCTTGTATTTTACACATTTAAAACTTAATGTTGTTCCAAGAGAAAAAAAAACAGACAGACTGCAAATGCCTGTGTTCACTAAAACCTTTTTGCTGTTTTGCATTATGGTAGACTAGCGTGGTTTTCAGGGTCGTTTTCTGTGGTTTTCTGTTTCGTTGACCGATCAAGGTGAGGGTTAAAATCGACAACAGCAAGTCAGGCAATTAAAGTCAGAGCAAACAACTTACTTGATTGCAAACATGGGGATATGGCAGGGACTTGTTAACTGACGACAAACAATTATCAGCTTTGTAATTATCCTTTAGATTTCAGAACCAGGTTATAGTAGAGAATTGTGTCATGAAATATTTAGAGACACGCCTGTGAAATACCTAAAACAAAATCCATCTGTTTTCCTGGTAAAGTTTATAAATTCAGCGTCCCTGGTAATGGAAAACACACAATTAATTATAAATGGTACAGAAACAATGGCAAAGTGACTAAAATTTTATCTTCTTTGATTAAGTGTACTTTACAATGCACTGTCCAAATCGATGTTATGTTGGATTTTATATTGTGAAACGAACACATCGGATTTCCATTTAAGAAAGAAATTTGGTTGGGTTTCTGGAGTTGTCTCTGATAACCATTGTTTTCCTACTGTGTTGATTCGTTTGAGATGCAGTTGCCATGTCAGGAATGACCCACTCACAAAGAGTATAAAAAAGAGTAGTTTTGCAAAAACGATCTAGAGACTTTCAAGAGGAACAATTAATTGTTGTATTCTATGTTGGCTATTATCAAAATGCCTCTGAACATGCTTTACATTTTACATCTTATGTTTGCGGCCATTTGGATTGTATATGGGGATACAAAATCTACAAATATGTACAGATATGTCACCCCTCCAAGCTGCAGGGAAGACGTGGCAAATATCAAGATATATGGACACCAATATGTGTCCACAAAAAGCGTGTGTGCCGTCGCGTGTACGGCGAATGCACCCCGTTGTGTGGGGTTCAACTTCATTAAAGCCGATTCAGGGGAAGATTTATGTGAATATGTTGACGCAAAATCCGACGAGAATAGCAAACATATGTTATACAGTAAAGGATCTAGGTACTTTGAACAGGTAATGTGTCAGTTTTCAATCATCTATTTATTAAATAAATAGTAGCAAACCATAAAATACATGCACTTGTAATTTCACGCATGCAATGCACTTATTTGCACACATCTATACATCTATGGTGTCTTTCATATGCCCATTACTGAAGGCCACAGGAGCAAACATTGGACCTATCTCACTAACACTAGTTCTCTCGAAGGTACTTGAAAGGTTTATTGTCGATTAAGTTTGGGTAGTAGCGTCCATCAAGATTGGGTCTAGACAGTTTGGCATTTTAAATGCAGCACCACAACATTATTGATTGAAGGAATTAACATTATCTCAAGACCGACTAACCCACCTGGGCAATGCACCAAAATGCTTTTAGTGGATTATACCAGGACTGCTCATCGAAAAAATTATCTTGAAATCCTAGAAAAAGGACAGATGAATTTATAGCTTTCTGTCAGAAAGGGACTCCTGTGTCAAAACCTGAATATGCAAAATCTGAACGGTTGACTATAAAAGCAGGTGTACCGCAGGGAACCAAATTCGGTTCAGTCTTCTTTGCTGTTATGATCACTGACATAAAATCTGAATAGGACAATATTAAATGTGTACCCTGAACTATAGAGCCGTACATAAATAAGGCAGTCTTCCATCTTCAACAACAGATCTCACTATGTGGTCTAGTGATTCCAATTATTTATTTTTATTGTTAAAACAACCAATAAATTGACAAAACCAAATAAATCATGTTCGACCTTTTAAGAGATGGTGATAATACACCACACTTAGTGATAAATGATGAAAAGATAAAAAGACTGAGATGGTTTAGAAAAGGGCATAAAAAACATATACACGGTACCTAGACACTCAATATGATGAGGCTCTAACAATCTCTAACAGTGTTGCACGTGCCGGCAGAAGGGATGAGTTAAAACATAGAACTGGCCATCTACTACCTGAGTCAAATACAAGCATACCATATACTTTGCATCGAGCTAAAATAAATGATGGGCCATAACTGAGAACTATCGGGGTTTCAAAAATATTCATTCCAAAATCAGACTAAAACTACTGAATATTAAAAAAAACAGATCTAACTTTCAGTGTGTTTCAAATGAATCTTAATGTACTTAAAAATATCATTAGAGTACCAAATATTTTATTTCATGTTTTTAGCTTTAATTTATACTTCTTTTGATCATATACTCATTTAATGAATTTAACAATTTATATTATTGTACATTCTAACGATTTTATTTGCCAATCAACATTATTATTATTATTATTATTATTATTATTATTATTATGTAAAGGTAAAAATGACGTAAGCATTTTGTGTTGTATTAGCATTTGTAGTTGTTATGTTGTACAATGTACACTGCTTTCGTATAATATAATATAAAGCAGCCGTTTGCTCTTTTTTCAGTTGGAGATGTCTGAGCAGCAAGTCACCTGTTCTCAATCTAGTAAGTAACATGCACATGTTACGACGGAGTAGGGTCACCACGATAACCTATCTGACTTCACTAACCTATAAATAACTCATCTACGAATTGTATTAACGCTGTTTTCACAGGGGACCACGGGCTCTACCTAATTGCTCGATGATCTGTTTCGGTGTAATTGGGACTGACTTTGACCTATATTGATACTGACCTTGATGTTTATTGAGACTAGCCTTCTATTGTGCCTGGCCTTGACCTATATTGGTTCTGATCTTGAAACTGATTTTTCTGATTTCCAGCGCCTTCTGTCTACACCTACGTTCCTATCGATCTTTCGTACTCAGCAGCGACTGTCTACTGTCGTGAAAGAGGGGCTCACCTCGCAACAGCGGAGACCAGGGAAGAATTAAGTGTTCTGTACGCGATTTGGCAACAAGCCCCAGGGGGAGGTAGGTCATGTCATTGACCTCGATTTGTTTATGGGTCATTGGTCGTTCGTGCACCCACATGGTTAGCAAGAAACATTTATTTCAAATAATTATTACGAATTCCATTTTAAGTTTTTAAAAATTTCAAATTATGTTCAAAGCTGCGATTTAAACAAACTTAATTTTCAGCTAGTTCTACTCGTATGTGTTAGTATTTGGTGTGTTTTGAAACAAAACAACGGATGTTCTCATAAAACTTGTTGAGGGGTAATTGGTAAAGAAGTTATGTACAGAGTATAGAGAAAGTGAGAAAACTGTTGGCCTAAACTTGTACCACTTTATAGTGGTTCATACCCTTTGCCGAGATTTATATTAGATAAAGATAATGGCTACATTTTTTAGCATGTGCAGGTTGTAGACTTTGGTTGGGAGCAGACGACATCGCACAAAATGGCGACTGGCGTTGGAACGCTGCGAATGGAGATCCGGTGGAGTATTCAGCATGGAAGTTAACTGAGCCGAATGGCGGAGATAGTGAAAACTGTATGGAGTTCTTTCCAGACGAGACATGGAACGACCGGACTTGTAGCACCCTCAGACACTTCATCTGTGAAGGGTAGGGACTGGGTGCACTTTTGCACTCCCCCCTCCCCCCAACATATGGCTTAGTGATATTCAACTTATTTTCTAATTTAATTAGTGTGGTGACTCTGAGTAATGTCTCCACTATTCAAACACATAAATTTGACAATTCATTCACTAATTTTAACATGTTTTACGATAATCATTATGCCTACCAAATATTATGAGAGCAGAGGATAACGCTGGAGTGCACCTTTTCTGCAATCTCATTGGTCAGAAAACTTCAACGCTTATTTCAAAAAGCATTAAACAATAGGGAGTTGCAGGGTAGGGAAATAATGCCAAAGTACCAGAGATTGTCACATAACCACGTGCCTGAAAAAGGAAAAAAAATTTAAAGTTTAAAATATATTCCTGATTATACCATATATATATATATATTTGTTTGTTTTGATAACTCATGCTACGATATCCTGTGATGTACGTACATGTAAGTGATGAAATCACTTGGTGTAATTTTAGCACAACCGGAAAAAGCTGATATATTAACTATTTTTAATATTTATATCATTATCTTCATGATAAATGTAAACTCTGTAAGAGCAATGCCATATTTCTGCTAACATACATATCTCCTTACCTGCTTGTACTTAACCTTTCTCAAACATGTCATCAGGACGGTCGATATATTTTTAGATCGATATATCCCCGTGGGGAGTCTCACTAGATTACTGTCAGATAATCCGGCTTAAATGTCCGTCCCGCCTACTACAAACTGTAAGGGGGGAATTAACTTTCGTGCCCGCTCAGCTGACAGCTATTTAGCGTGAACCCCCAGGGAGTTAGGTCGATCTAGTTGGATCGATCTAATCTCTGGGAGTGGGGTGTTAGACATTCTTGATACGTATCCAAAATAACACAGCTTAATTACATATATTCGGGTGTTTCTAATCTAATGCTTTCAAATATGATTTAATTAGATATTCCATCCAAAAAGTCCCTATAACTACCACCAGGCACCTGAAGATGTGGTCTTTGATCGGCTTCCAAAGAGTACGTGTTAAATGGGGGATTCCTTATTTAATACATGTACAAACACATGTAAGATACAGGTATGAATATTTACACCTGTACCCTCTTGAGTTGCTTAAAGCATGCTAACATAAAATCGAAGGCGAACAGATCACTTTTTTATCAATGTACATAATAAAACTAGCAAAAGTTACTTTGAATTCTTTTAAGCAGTTTGATAAATTTAGTTAAATTACCACGTGGTCTTCTGCGGAACATTCGTACAGAAATAATACCTGTATTTCATAGCTGTTATTGATAGCACATTGCATCCATTAATTATGCTGAGATGCAAGCTTTTCTGTTTTGAACAAACACATAACTGAGAAAAGTATGCACAGATATATATACCAGATTAACTTTTGAACCCTCCGGAATCTGATAGACTGCACACGCTGTGCAACCTAAGAAATATAGGACAGAATCTACTACTCTCAACGTGCTCACATAATTGAAAATATCGATGTCAAAGACATCTTCTTGACACAGATCATTGGTTGACTGGGATGCTCCCTGACTGTTGCCGGTGACGATGAACTGCGATTGATGTCACAACTAAAGCAACCATCAAAGTCTCAACCACAATCAAAATTCAACTTATCTTGATCTGGACATTGCGCAAGAAGATCAGTGTTTAAATAATATGACTGGAGACAGTACATCTCTGTCAATCCTGTACTTAGAAAATAATCATGCACACGCTTGTATTTTACACATTTATAACATAATGATGCTCCAAGAGAAAACGAACCAAAAGCCAGGCAGACTCCAAATGACGGTGTGCACGGAGTTACAGCCTGATTAGGCTATTTGAAAGAGTATAAAATTTACCAGTAGAAAAAATAACCATGTACTAGAATTTACGATTATTTTCAACCGGAAATTTAAGAAGTGACACTCGAATAATCTCACTTCCAAATATTGCACCATTCAAGCATTTTGGGAATATTCTCTCTAAACAACATGGTGGTCAATTTCTGAGCGTAAAACACGCTTAAGCAAAAGGGACTAAGGATTGGGTTTACAAGCGAAAAGAGGTAGCATGGGTAGCATGGATCATTTAGGCCGTTTTATTTGGTTTGAGTGTGATTTATTGTTTTTTTTTTTTTTTCGTTTTATTTTGAGGAGTATACATGTATATACTTCATATATTGATTTCATTAAAAAACTATAAAAATATCCCGATATTGCTTGATTTTCTGTTTTGCATTATGTTAAACTAGCGTGGTGTTTAGAGTCGTTTTCTGTGGTTTTCTGTTTCATTGACCAATCAAGGTGACAGTTGACATCGACAACAGCAAGTCAGGCAATGCAATTAAGGTTAGATCAAATAACTAATCTAATTGTACACAGATGGATATATGACAAGAATCTGTTAACTGGCAGCGCCATACTAACAATTAACAACCCTTTATTTATCATTGAGATTTCAGAACAAGGTCAAAGTAGAGAATCTTTTCATGAAATATTCAGAGACACGTCTGTGAATATCTAGCGAAAAAACATCTGTGACACTGGTAGAGATGACTATTTCACCGCCACTGGTAGAAGAAAACACACAAATTATTAATGGTACAGAAAAACAATTTGCGAAATGAGTATTTTCTGTATTTATCTTCTTTGACTAACTATGCTTTATATAAGAATGTTTAATCGATATTCTGGAGTTTTCTATTGTGGAACGAACTCACAGGATTTTATTTGTAGAGAAAGAATTGGTTTTACTTTGGAGTTGTCTCTGATAACCGTTGTTTTTTTCTAGGATGTTGACTTATTTTCAGAGTGTCTTTGCCACATCAGTGATGATCCCCTCATAGGGACGATGAACAATAGCGCACCCTGTCGCTGCACTTAACAAAAATGATCTAAAGCCTGTCAAGAGGACTGCTGTATAAGTGTTGTATTCTAGCTGTTATCAAAATGTTTCTGAGCATGGTTCGCATTTTACATTTCATGTTTGCGGTCGTTTGGATTGTATTTGGGGATAAAAATTCTACAAATGTGTACAGATACGTCACCCCTCCAAGCTGCAGGGAAGACGTGACAAATACCAAGGTATATGGACAGCAATTTGTGTCTGTTAAAAGCGTGTGTGCCATCGAGTGTACGGCGAACACACCCCGCTGTGTGGGGTTCAACTACATTAAAGCCGATTCAGGGGAAGATTTATGTGAATATGTTGATGCAAAATCCGACGAGAATGGCAAACATTTGCTTTACAACAATGGATCTCGGTACTTTGAACAGGTAATGTGTCACTTTTCATTTATTTATTAATTAAATGCGTAGCAAAACTTACACCTTAAATCTTTCAAGGCGTTCCTTGTGCGAACTTTTGCGTCCATTCCTGAAATGGGTAAGAACAGATGAAAATGAAATAAAAGTCAGATATTATAGAAGCGCTTCATGTCACACAGCAGTCGCCAAAGGACGCCTAAACAACGCTCATTGGTCTTGCAGTAGGCAAATAGATTGTAGAATAGTCGCCACTGATTGCCACTGATCGCCGATGATGGAACAGAAAATGCAACACAGATACTCAATGTTCGCTCAAACCTCGCAACGGCAGCCGTACGTTGCACACGGAGAGGTATGCAAGTCGCTCACTTGATGCATCAGGTTACTTTACACGATTTTACACGATTTTCTTGTTTTGAAGACCATTGAGCGTCTCGGCAAATACTTTGTTCGTAGAAAGGACTCAGAAAGGTCGCCACTCAGTGTGAAGTGGGTGTAAGGAATGCCTCGGAAATTTTAATTAATTTTTGCGGCTAGTTCAAGCTGAAATCTCCTTCATCGTTATTATATGGTTATTGAAAGTTTCCGCTTACTATTATCTTTGGCAAATCCTAATGATTGGGTGATTACTATTGCATTGGATTGGACTACTGTCAGTACACGGTTGCTTGCTGGTCTGTGAATAGACTGACACGTCGATTAACACCAAAGGAATAACATCACATGATGCCATATTTAATTTAGATGTCAGGTTACACTGTGTATGATACGTTTTGCAGATCTTAAATCAAAAATAATTTAATATTCTAACTCCCCCAGGAAATTAAAAAGGTAATTTTCATCTTAATGTTTTGTATGAAGCGAGCGTGGATCCCCGTAGCGCACATGAACCATATCTACATGTACATGTAAAAGTTAATGATTCGACTAAATAAAAAGGCTGGCAAGCCAAGGAATAACTACATCGACGCCAAAATAGGCTTTAAAACTGTACCTTCCTCAAATTTCTGGTCGAAATTTGGCCTACTTATTTATATATGTCCCCCCAGTTTATAAAAGTTCGTTAAATGATAGTTTTACACAAATCAAAGGCATCGGTTTCGTACAACCCACGAGAAGTGTATATCAAGAAGAAAGGAAATCTCAAAGAATAGCGAGAAAGGATTGTTTACCAATGCCCTTAGCATTGCCGACTGGAGGGCATTTTCCAATAGAGAAACTTGTGAGGCCAATTCTCCTTCTACCATTATTGACTGGACAAACAGTACCGAGCAATTCTTAGCTGTGCTGAGCTGACAGTCAATGCTATGGCGACCTCAGTTATTGATCCCATATAATAAGCAAGTTTCTTCCAACTGTTACCAGTGACTTTGAACATCTGGAACCAAAATTGAGTGGAACAGCAGCCGCAGACATCGTGAGATACACCGTCACACAAAACTAAGTTGAGAAACCCTTTCTCCAAGCCAACTTTCACAAGTCATCAGGGTCGGGTAAAATTTCTTACTGGATTTTCCACGATGTAGCAGGATACCTGGCCGCTCTATATGTGCCACATGTATATTTAATCCACCTCTCTGGAAACAAGCGTATTTGACGCCAAATTCTCACCACCAAAGCTCATAGGGGCAGACATTAGACCTGGCTTGATAACACCACTTCTCTCAAAGGTACTCGAAAGATGCATTAATTGTATTTGGCTAACAGCGACCATCAACCATCCTAGACATTTAGGCAGTGTAAAATGCAGTACCAAGACTTTTGACTTGTTTGAAAAGATTGGCTTGATTTTAAAACTGACAGACTCACGTGGATAATGCACCGGAATGATTTTAGCTTGGCTTTCGATAGATTTGACCAGACCCATTTACGTCAGTCTTTTGTATTTGTATTTGTATTTTAAATTTGTAAACTGCTCTTTGTATTGAAATAATCTAAAGTGACCGTTTGTTCATTTTTCAGCTGGAGATGTCAGAGCAGCAAGTCACCTGTTCTCAATCTCGTAAGTAACATGTGCATGTGTATACGGTGGAGATTGGTCCCCACGGTACCATGTCTGACTTCACAGAACTATAAATAACTCTATTGAGAATTTGGATGGCACTGCTTGCAAAGGGGATCACTGACCATATCTGATTGTTCGAACACCTTTTTCTGGGTCTGTATCAGCGTAATTGGCCTTGAAATATTGACAATGACCTTAACTTTTATTGAGACTAACACTGAATTCTATTGTGCCTGACCTTGACCTTGACCTATTTACTTCCTATTTTCCAGCTCCTGCTGTCTACACTTACGTTCATATCGCTCTTACGTACTCAGAAGCGACAGAATACTGCCGAGCAAACGGGACTCACCTGGCAACAGCGGAGACCATGAAAGGATTAAGTATTTTGTACGCATTTTGGAAGCAAATACCAGGGGCAGGTACGTCATGTCAGTGACCTAGATTTGTATCTGGGTCAGTGGTCATTCGTGCTCCCACGTGGTTGGCAAAAAAATAGTAATTAATAAAAGTCTTAAGGGATCTACAATTATATAATAGGTTATAATATATAGGCAATTTAAATAAACATAATGTTTACTTTCTTCTGGAACGTGTTAGTATTCGCTGTGTTGATAAGAAAAACAACGTATATTCTCAAAAAAACTAACTTGAAATGTTTAAGGGTAATTGCTAAAGCTATGAGTTTTTTTAGATAGCTGCTACTGTGAAAATGAGAAAACTGTTGGCCAAAACTTGTACCGGTATATACATTAATATTAAAGTTTTTCATAAAATTTACCAAGATCTATATGATTGACTGACAGGTAATAGCTACAGCTTTCTATTCGTATGTGCAGGTACCAGGCTTTGGATGGGAGCAGACGACATCGCACAAAATGGCGACTGGCGTTGGACAGCTGCGGATGGAGATCCGGTGGACTATTATAACTGGAGGTTAGATGAACCAAATGGCGGAGATAGAGAAAATTGTATGGAGCTGTATACAGATGGGGGATGGAACGACCTGCTTTGCAGTCGCCTCAAACACTTCATCTGTGAAGGGTAGAGATTGCACCCCCCCCCCCCCACCACCACCACCACCTCCACCACCACCACCACCTCCCATATGGCTTAGTGTTATTCAATATAATGTATTTTCTAAATGAATTAGTGTGGTGACATTGAGCATCGTCTCCGATACTCAAATAAATAACTAATGGTAATTAATTTACTATTTTAAGATGTTTCTTTAAAAAATATAAATGCCTACCAAATATTTTAAGAGCCGAGGTTATCGCTTGGGTGATAATTTGCTGAAAAGAGAAAAAGTAAACCTACATTAATCATTTTATATTCCTGATTATATTTTATTACTGTTTATAACACATTTTATGATGGTTTGGGATGTACTTCAGTCATTAAATCGCTTGGTGAATTTTAACACCAGTCGTAGCACAATTGGAAAAAAAACTGATATTTTAAGTATTTTAAAAAAGATATAAATAAAAGGGAAGACGAAACAGTTCAATTTTTCGTCAATAAACGTGATAAAAGTAGTCAATTTACTTTGAAATTATATTTTATGCAATTTGTTCGAGTTCGTTACACTACCACGTGGCCTTTTGCGGTATATATAAATAAAGTACCTGTCGAATGAACATCTAACTTCATGGACTTTATTTATAGCTAATTAAAATACAATCATTGTTTACACTAAAAGGCCAGTTATTCTGTGTAAAGGTCTCTATATGTATTTAAAAACAAAGAAATAACTGAGAAAACATGCACAGATATACATGTGCGACGAATTTTTTAACATCCCCTCTGTGCGACCTTACATATAAAAGACAAAACCCACTTCCTCTCAACGTGCTCACAATATTGAAAATTTCGAAGACGTCATCTTGACATAGATGATTGGTTGACTGTGATGCTCCCAAACATTTGGCGGCGACAATGAACTAAGTTGCGATAGATGTCACACCTAAAGTAATCACCAATATCTCAACTACTACGACCATTACATCCCATCTTGATCTGGACATTGCTCAAGCAGGTGAGTGCCAAAATACCATGACTGAAAACGGTGGACCTCTTTAATCCGTAAAGAACGTTTTTTTTTTCATCGATTTACTATTAATGACTTAAAACATCTAATGTAAATATGTGTAAATGGTATTTGTAAACGTGCAGTTATAAGTTCAGACCCATTTAAAGTTGCTAAAATTGATTTTGCATGTGAATTTCAACATTTTTGCTTTAATTACCAAGCTATAAGATTTCAAAGATCATTGGTAAAATTGCTATTTATAGACTGTCTTTATATTCTAAGTTTTTTTTAAATATTTAACTACTTACCGCTAGAGGTGGAGACGTTTGCCTTTATTTAATGATAGTAAAAAAAAGAACTTGAACACTGATCTATGAATCGAAATTCTGAAAAATTCGAATTTTCAGATTTATTGCACGAAACATTTGACACGAGATGTAGTTAATGCGTATCACAGCACTGCATTTATGCTTGACAGACAAAATGCCAGGCTCTCGAACAGCGTTGATCAATCCAGGAGACCGAATTCACGTCCATGTCCATGCAGTTCTCGTTAGTACCGCCATTAGGTTCTGCCCCTCCCCAGGCGGAGTAGGACACCACCTCCCCCGTGGACGCCGTCCACCGCCAGACGCCTTCCTGGGAGATATCGTCTGCTCCTAACCATATGCGGCTCGCTGCTCGTGATTTTGAAAGAAATAAGAAAGTAAACATTGTTGAAATTCGTGTTGAAATTAAACTAGTCTGTTTAGTAAACTGTTATGAGATTTTACATTTTCTTATTTGCTGACACTAGCGACAACTAAAGACACAGTTCATTGATAAAGTTTCCCGTTGGACATCGAGACGCCCCAAGAGAGCGAAAGTTTACGTGTGCAAAAAAGGTAAATAAATCAATCAATAAAATGATAATGAAATAATAATAAAACCTAATAAAAAATAATAACATCTTATATCATTTCAGGAAATGTAATCGGATAGTGGCACAATTAATCTACATATTTGACATCATTGTCCGTAACTTAGTTGGGTGGGTCCTGCTACATGTGGTTTGTATACACTGTATACTCTGTACTTTCCTAGACCCTACATGTGTTTTACTAATTGTGGAATGACCTAGGGGAATCTCGCTAAATTGCTTTCATCTTAAGGGACTTAGATGTCTGTCACGCCTACTGAAGCTGCTAGGTGGTAATTAACTCTCATTTTTAATTAGCAGCTAGTTGACGTGCCAGATACCTAAGCTGCTTAAGCTAAAAGCAATTTAGCGAGAAACGATCTACAATGTAGGTATGGGAACCCAGTCTAAGTGATAATTCCTTACGTTTTGATGACAGAGTGTTCAGGTAATCCACCAGACAGTCCAGCTGTTGTGGAGATGTGGGCGTGGCCAGGTGCATGGAGTTATATGATTGACAGTACTGCACCGCGGAATCGTGAGTTCTCGAGGAGGCGACATATTGATATTCTGGACACGCCCCTGGAAAATATAGGTCAAGGTCAAAGGTCAATTCATGAGAACGAGGTAGTACCGAATAAATAGATTAATGTACATGTAATTATAAATAAAAAAATGGATAATTACAGATAACAACATATTCTCTAATGAAGTTATTTTGTGTCATCAACCGAAAAAGAGACACAGATGCAGAAATTTCTCATCTGATTCCACCAAAACCCAAAACTGCAGTCCGTCAAACAGAGAACGAGTGGAAGGAATATGGAAAGTTATCTATTAAGTTTGATGAAACGCGGCTTTCCATGGCTCATTATCCATAGATCGATAATAAAATGACGGCAAAGTTGAAAAGATGAAGCCGTTGAAGAGATCAGCATAAATACGTCACAAATTGAAAAGAGGGGACAAGAATCAGCTTGTACAAAGTCTGCAGAGGACAAGTTAATTTTCTTCTTTAAAAAGTAAATGTAGAAAATATTCCAACATATATTATTTCGACAATGTGTTTTTCGGCTACGGGCGTAATATTAAATGGAATAGTAATACGTGTATATGTGTAGTATAACGCTTACTGTATGAAATTAAGGTTTATTTTGTAAAGAAGCACACCCAGTGTATATGGATACCGTGACAGGTATGGGTCAATACTCACCTCTCAAAGAGCAAGTTGTCGACTCTGTCCCGACCTCTAACTGAAAAACGAGGAAATCGGTCAGTAATATGACGGTGTGTATTTTCCTGAATCTCATCCAAATGCATTAAAACATTGTGCAATCAATTCGCTGTTCAAATAGGCACAGATAAAGCCATTGACAGTGCTTTTAGTTATTGATCAGAACTGAGCGTTCATGTCGGAAAAGAAATGAAACATGACACTCATTTACCAGAGAAAAATACATAGCAAAACGTCGATTTCTTTTATACTGCTTGAGCGGATATACTGGGGCATTTATCATGAAGTATTTCCACGCGCTAGTCCATTTCATTTATAATTGTAACAAGTTGGTCACATTACAAAAGCGTTGTAAGTTGCCCTTTAGCTATTTACATGAGAAAAAAATGTACAGAAAAGTTAATATTAAGCGTTATGTTATGACACGCTGACCCTATTGATCTTAAAACAGGAAATTGGAAAATAAAAAAGAAAAATGAAATTATTGGCACGCCAAACTTCCGTCTCTTTACGTGTTTATAAACAAAAGGCAAGAAATCGATAAGCCAAAAAGAGACACTACAGACAGATAAAAACTCCACAGAATTATAACGCTTTCAGTTAAGAAGCAGGCGAATATTGTTGGGAAAAATAAATATAGAATTAGATAAATAAATAAATTAATTAATATGAGCAGGGTCCTTTCTGTGGCCGTATTCACAACAAAGGTTGATACACGAACTAACAGACTTGCCGATCAAATGCCCAGCCCACTTGAAAGCTTACCGCGTGAACCCCGCGATCTGTTAGTCTGCAGATTATCTTATGATTTACGGTTGAGACGATCTGTTATAAATTAGTCTGTGAAGAGCCCAGAAGGGTTCCATCCAACTCTTACATGTAATAACCAAGGGGAAAAACCAGTGCTCAATTTACTGTAAGTGTAGAACGGTGGGAGTGCCGTAATTTGCAGGGGAGATATGATATCATTTTTCTTAAGTTGAGTTAAAAAATATTAAAAAGCATTCTATTCTATTCGTTCCTATCCCGTCCTGTCCCATTCCATTTCATTTCATTCTATCCTATCCTATTTTGTTTTATCCTATCCTACCCAATCTTATTCTATTCTATTCTATTGTACAGAATGTTTAGTCAAGTTTTTTGTTCAAAATGAACAGCTGCGAAACTTTGAAAGCACACCACTAAACCATACGAAATAACAGCACTAAGCAACTACATGTACGTACTAAATATTCTACCTGTTCAAAAAACCTGAATCCTTCCCCGTCCGAAACCCCAGAGCCTTTCTCATCAGAGCGTCCCCCAACTAACTGACACACACTCCGACTTCCATTTTGGTACAAATTAAAGCCTTGGCATTGTGGGGTGGTAGTGGTACATCGCAAAGCGCACTCTGTCCTCGTATTCACGTAATACGTAGCTGTGACGTTGGCGTGGTACACGTTGTTGGAGCAGCCAGACGGTGCGACGTATCGGTGTTGCCTTGATGCTCTTTCACACTGAACAGTCACCAGAGCTAGTGTCACTATCCCTGTCAGCACACGCTTGATCACACTGAGGGCCATGTTTCACCTGCTAAGGGTCTCTTTACTTCTAAGTTGAAAATCAACTCCCTAAATAAGATTGCACTTAATGATTAAGTACGTTTTCTACCGGGTAAACAAATGTATCGATTACGCGCGTGGGTAATGGACTATTTCTACTTAATATATAGGCATACTAATTGCACTGGGTTGATTCTTTGCATCAGTTTTTTAATAATTTGTCCACGCTGTACCAGTATTGTTGACCATCTTCGATTAGTCGCTGCGTATGACAAATTGATTTAACTTTTTTACTTTTGTATTCGTATTTTAAACACTTTTTTTCAATCAATACATTTTT